GAAATGCAAAGTACTTATCCAAGATTGGCAGGGACCCAACCCTGCGCTAACGCTTGGTGGTGATCTGCTAGAAGTCGTTCAAAAATACAAGTACCTGGGCAGCTATATTAGCACCCGTGGGATCTTAGATGAGGTTACGAACCGTATAGCAAAAGCCCGAGATGCTTTTGCTAATCTCTGCCACCTGTGGCGCAGACGCGACATTACTCTCGCCCTCAAGGGCAGAGTTTACAACGCAGCCGTCCGTTCAACTCTCCTGTATGGTTGTGAAACCTAGCCCATCAGGTCGACAGACATAAAGAGGCTTGTCATATTCGATCATCACTGCCTTCGCAGCTTAGCTCACGTCTGGTGGGAGCACCGCGTGAGCAATGAGCGTGTTCGGCATCACGTATTTGGTGCAGGAAGAGCGAGTGAACCTCTCAGCACCATTAGATCACGCACCAGTCTCCGATGCTTGGGCCACGTGTTGCGCATGCCAGCACACCGACTTCCGCGACGTGCACTGTTTGCGCGTTGTGGGTGCGGTTGGAAGAGGTGAGGCCAAGCGATGACTTGGTCGAGAGAGATGAAAACCCTCACTTCGAAGTTGGCGTCAGTTGGTGCATCCCGACTGCCTGGTTGGGGTCCTAAGGACGGTCAACACGTTTAATTGGCCACACTTGCAGATATGGATTGGTGACGGCTCAATTGGCGTTTGTGTTGAGTTTCTTTGTCCATCACCCTCCTGCTTAGCATCGCCCTCCAATCCCGATCTCACTCGTTAGGCATAATATAACTCTTTTTACGGCACGATAGCCAGCTGTTAGCTCTCCGGAACGATGTCCACCCGTTACTGTGGATTCAGTCGGCGTGCCACTATTTTCCTTTTCTTGTTTTTGGTACTGCGGCACAATAGATAAAGTGTTTTCCACCTTCAACTAACGTGTATAATGATGATGATGATGATGTAAAGTCAACTTCTGTCCACCTCGAGCTCTACCCTATCCTACACCTGGCAGACTAAACAAGGTCTTCTAAGGTAAGCGGTGACCAGACATACGTTGCAAGTGCCCGAGCCAACGCAACTTATTCAGTGTTATCTGTTGTTCACTACTTAGTACTCGCCCGCGCCCATCATTGTTGCGGACACGCTGTTGCCATCCGACACCAGCAATGCTTTGCAGACAGCGATGATCAAAGACTTGAAGGCGCCCCAGATTTTCACACCGAAGGAGCCAATTTGCACTACCATAGAGCAGGACGGCTCTCACTGTGGTCTTGTGTAATCCGCCTTTCAGACAGACGGAAAATTCCTTCTGTCGTCAGATGCCGCAGTTTCAAGAAGGAAGTTCTGACCTTTGTAATACATGAAATGGCTTCAGATGCTATGCAGCTGCCAAAGTAAGTGAATCGTTGAACCACTTCGAGTTCCTTGTTAGGAAGGGTCATAAAGTGGCTGGTGGTTTTGCAGCAACACTGCACTTAGAAGGTGCGAAGCGCACACCAAATAATGGGCCCATTGTAGACAGGCTATTTAGAGTTGATTGATCCGCCGCAAAATATTCGAAAAGCAAGACGATATCGTCCGCATAATCAAGATCAACTAATCTTTCGTCACGCATCACAACGCCTACATCGTGAGATTCCGCAAGGGAACACCCCCATGATATAGTCCACGACGAAAGTAAACAAAAATTGGTAAATCGGACAACCCTGACGAACGCCACTTGTGGTCGGGAAGCGATTGGACAGGTCACGGTAGACTTTGACGTGGCCTGTGGTGTTCAAATATAGGGCACGTAGCATGTTCACATATTTCGTGGGAACACCTTTCCGCGCAAGTATTTTGGACAGAATGGACCAATTGACTGAATCGAACGCACTCTTGAAGTCGAGAAGCCCAGCTATTGTCGGTCTGCAGTATGCGTGGCGCTGCTCTAGCACCTACCGTATAGTGAATATATGATCTGTACAGCCAAGTCCGGATGCGAAAACCTGCCTGCTTTTCTCTAATCCGAGATTCCTGTTTCACAGTGAGGCGACGAAAGAGAATCGAGGCCAGTATTTTTGTCACAACTGTCGTTAGGCTAATACTTCTGTGGTTAGAACAGTCTGTGCGACTTTGTAGCGACTGCCCAGAAACCAGACTGTGTTCAGTGCTTCTTATAAGATCAACTTTTCCACCTTCAAATTACATGCCAGGTGGGGTCGTACTCTCCTATTCGCTAAGCAAGTAGACCTAGGCGTCGTCATTTCTCGTAGTTGCATTAGGCGTTTCCGAATGTTTTGATCAGTACGCTGTTCTTTCAAAATCTTAACAGGAGACACCTTTGAAGCTGTTATCGGCTTTCATCCGTCCAGGCTTGCCCACACAGCCTCGTTCGGGACAAAATGGAGCTGAAGAACGTTCTGCGAGTTTGTACCTAATTGGTCGACAGGTTGCTGAGGCAAACGTACCCAAAGCGTCCAGTTAGCCTGGCCATGTATTTGATGCACTAACGAGGCCTTCGAGCAGACCTGATTCTCACTTACCGCATCTTTACTGTGAAGGTTGGACCGGACTTCAGTCCGGCTAGGTGGCTTTGTCTTCGCGGTCATCACATTAAGCTATACTAGCCTCATTCCGATCATATAAGGGCGTAAATTATGTTATCGCGCGCTGCAACTTGCTTTCAGACAATGTAAGCAGTGCACCTAGGTTAATGGTTCTGTTATCGGAAGGGCTAAATCCTTCCAAAACTTCTGGCCCTGATTCAACTCATCCGAAGCTGATGCATGAATTGGCCGCTGAGCTAAGTGGCCCTCTGACATGCATGTTTACTACATCACCCGACAGGTATGCCTAACCTTCGGAATAGAAAGCAATCATCCGTCCGATTTTCAAGGGCGGGGACAAGGCTCTGCCCACGAACTACCGGCCTGTCAGCTTAACAAGCGTAGTAGTTAAGTTGTTTGAAAAGTTGGTCAGGGATTCGGTGGAGAACCACGTGATTAAGTTTAACCTCAGTGCGGCACAGCACGGATTCCGTAAGGGATTTTCATGTCTAATAAATTTACTTGTAGCTCGTGAAAGCTGGGCTGAGGCAGTAGACAACGGACACGCCATCGACGTGCTTTTCGTTGACTTCTCAAAAGCCTTTAATACTGTCCCATATCAACGACTCATTGAAGTAGAGATCGTATGGGATATCTGAAGCCGCCCTTAAATGGGGTTTTGCTTTCCTAGAGGGGAGAGAACAGTGTGTACGCGTGGGCCGTAGCCTTTTGTTTAGACAACCTGTTCTTAGTGGCGTTCCTCGGGGCTCGGTTCTAGGGCCGTTGCTTTTCGCAATTTATGTCAATGACCTACCCCAGGAGCTTGAAGTACCATCGCTATTGTTAGCTAATAACCTCAAGCTCTGGAATATTGTTGATATCGCTGGTGGCTCTAAGGAACTTCAGAGTGCCTTGGATAGGCTCTGGGATTGGTCAACCTTATGGTTGACGCCTATAAATCAGGCGAAATGTTCTGTCCTCCGCATTGGAGCTGCTAGTCCTCCCACGCGCCATGTAGTTGGTGGGAGTTGTCATTCAGCAGTATGATCTAGGTATCAACCATACCTCATCTCTTCACTCTGGGGACAATCGGAGGAAGGCTGCTTGTAGAGGGTTCCGTATGATGTGGTTTATTCGCTGCTCCTTGGGTGTCCTAACGGTCAATATTTTTGTGAAGCTGTTCTAAGCTTTTGTGCGACCTCACTTAGAGTACTGTATCCAAGCTTGTCCACTTTGTCTTGTAAGGGACAAAATGGAACTGGACAGGGTTTTGCGAGTGGGTACAAGGTTAGTGCAGGGAGTAGGGGGGCAAAGGTATCCTGAACGTTTGCTTAGTTTGGGTAGGTACTCAATGCACTATCGCAGAATTAAAGAAGACTTTATCCTCGCTTACCGTATTTTAACAGGTAAGATCGGTCCAGACCTATCCTGGCTATTCAGTCCCGCCAAGTTGCCTAGTCTCCGAGATCACCCGTTGAAGCTGCACAAACTGCGTTCTGACCGGGTAAGGACGGAAACTCACTTGCCGCGTCGAGTTATTGAACGCTGGAACTCGCTTCGGGAGCACCTCGTTAGGGAGTCTACGGTTGAGGGTTTCGAGTGTCAGTTAGATGCTCTTGGGTGGCAGTACCAAACCTTACACTTCTCCTAACCGACTCGTATCTTCAACTTTCCCTTCGTTTTTTTTAATTTTCTTCTAATACCTTGGTGTTATCATTATTCAACTGACATTTCTCTTGTTTTCTTAGCTTACCCTTCACTCTTTTACTTCACAAAAACCGGCCTGGCAGGCAATGCTGGGCAGGAAAATCTGGGCAGTAACTGCTGGGACGAGGTATGATGCGGTCATTGTTTTATGCTTTTCAACATCTCAAGCAGACCTGTCAACTCCCCATCCGATAGCACGCAAGGAAGGAACATTCAAGGGATTGTCCTATTGTACCGGTCCCAACTGAACTTGAATTTAGTGGTAGACGCTCCTGAGTGGTAACACAAGGCCTTTCTTTTCCACTGACTCTTTGGTATTATCATTTATGCAAACTATTTTCCTTCCCCTTCTTTTCCATTTCTGCATCTTTCTTATTTCATGTGACCGGCGCAGCGGGGATTGCTAGCGCAGGAAACGTGAGCAGTAATTATTTGACCACGTTGCGGTTCGGGTACTTCGATTTAGATCCATCTAGATCTCGGAACAACATAACTTGCTGGCTCAACGATCCGCTCAAGAAGGAGCACTCAAGGGATTTTCCTCCCGCCCAGTCCCATCATCATCTAAGGCGCGATCGCTGTGATGACTTCTAATACTATGTAATCATAGCTAAAGCGTGTAGAGTGGCATGATCCGACATGACTGAGAACTCCCAGTGCAGAGAGCATATAAAAACTCAGTGCATTAAGATTCAGCGTGCGAAATAAAGGGGAGAGCGAGCCATTGAAATACAGATAGACGAATGCCATTGTAACGTATGCATATAAAGACTCGCCTGAGATCCCAAAACAACAATTTGAGGCAGTTGTATAGATTCCGCGCCCACAGTACTAAATACATCCTGAAGTTTATTAATCACGGGAATGAGTGATTCCATGGGGTCGAGTGATGAAGGGAACTTAATACTCACAGAGGGAAGCTGCTCGCTAGTCGCAGACCAAGCAGGGTGCTTTAAAGATGGTGACGTTTTTGATTGGGCTGACGGAAGTGAAACAACTGAACTCTAGATTCTGACATTCTAGACTGGTGTAACCTTACAACTATGTTTTGGTGGGCTAAAATGCTATCAACTGTTTGCCGCGGATTCGCATGCTCGGCAATACGGTTAACGAAATGCTGTAAATTTGGTAAATTAACTAGACAAAGAAATTTCCACACCCTTATGTCCAATATTGCACAGTGCGCGCATTGTAATGCTAAAAGTCAAATTTAGTTCGCCTGTTTTCATGAATGCTGTATTTAACTAATTCGCAGTCTTGGATGTCCGTTAAAAGCATTGGATTTCCGCAATGTTGTTAGACGCAAAGCAGAACTCAGACGAGATGTGCAGCAAAATGGTTTTGAAATGAATGCCAACTGTTGTCCACTCAATCCGCTGGACAAGCTGTGTTGCAAAATTGCTAATATCCAACAGGCGTAACTATGCGTCTACGTATCGTTTGGGAAACATCGAAGTGTGTATACACACTTAGTTGCATGCATTATAATTCATGCAAATTTATTTGCCTTAAATATGCGTAACACTAATGCAATATTGGTAACTAAAATAGAAATTATCCACAACAACGTATAAAACATACGCATACCGTTTCTGAGCCCATTTATTAATAATTCCTGCCGTCCACTTTTAGTTTCGTCCTGGTATATTTAATTAGTCTATTGTGCCGATATTTTTAGCCTCGGAATTTTAATGTGAAACGCATTAATTATATGATGAAATAAGTAACAATTGGGGTTTGTGAGTTTCCTAGCAGTGGATACATCATAGCAGACATAATTAAGTGGCTTCTTTAACAGCAAAGATTTTCCAAAATCATAGGAAACTTATGCAGCATTATTGTTCCTACGAATTATCATTTTATCCAAACATATGTACAGCGAGCCGTCCCACTGAAGCTTGCTTTTGAGCACTCGCAGAGAAGCAACAGGAGATGAAGATATATGTCTTTATATGTCCATGGATATTTTTAACTAATGTTCTAGGTAATTATCGGCGCGGTTTAGTGCGTTAAATCCTTCTTTTTAACCGTAATTTCTGTCAGCGCAAGTGATATTTAGAGCACCATGAGTGACGAATAATTGGTCACTGTGGTAGTACGTACTTACAAGTGCGTGATCGATTACCGCGTAACGTTGACGGAATACGCATCCCTTCCGCGAGAGCAGCGAAAGCGGGTGCCATCGTGTGAGTGTTGTAACTCCCTAAATGACCAGACTTTTGACCCCCCAGCAGTGCAAATGTATACCCTATGGACGACCGTTTGGTCACTCAGTATATCCCCCAACGCCTCTTGAACTTCAGCAACGAAAGTTGCATGGAAAAATATCGTAAACATGAAGCGGAAAACCATATATTACTCATAATTACGCAATGCAGTGGCCTTAAACCCAAAAGCTAAATTGATTTTGAATCGCCAATTCTCGTCTAAACGAAACTTAATTAGGATGACTTTCAGCCAATAGTATGCATTATCTGATGTTACCAGAGCATTATCGTGAGTGTGCTACTGTCGGAGCCTGCATACTACAAGCGTAATCCTCGGAGTCAAATGATATTACAACGCACTTGTGTCCTAGTACATCGGCACCAAATGTGCCGCTGACAGGGCCTATGTACAACGAGCACGAGACTGGGAGCCGTGTGCTATGACAAACCACATGGGTCCTATTACACTGGCAGCATGCGTGCTGTAATCCCAAATGTTCTCAGAAACCGATATATAAACTTTGCATTGTATTTAACAATAGACAGCGAGAGAAGGTTCAGCGTTGTTCACTATATTCGTGCCTTGGACGCGCATGTCCCATGCAGAGTATCATTACACAAATTCGTATTCATTGGCTAAAATATAATAGTAGTGCGAACATATAGCCTTCTGTCGGGTAATTGAATGAGAATTTTTATCTGAACAAGCTTTTTCCCTCTTTGTGTTTTCTTTACTAGGCTGGCATCCATGTCGACGCTACAATGAAGTGAAAATGGGAGTTTAAATTGCACCGAATAGCTTGTTTTGGCACTCTCTTCTGCACAATACCTCTGCTTGAGGGGAACTCCACGGCTCCTTTTCGACAGCCTATCGACGAAAGGTAATGAAATAGATCACCAGTACCAAGTGCACGTGCAATATGGGATACGGTTTGTTGACTTGTACTCGGATCGGCGGTAATCTCATCCTGACTGCCTGCGCAGGAAATAGTTAGACTAAGCTGTCGCTTACCGCCGTAAGCGGAGCAGGTTGAAGGGGTAGAGGGAACTGTGAAATCCGGTGAAGTTGAACGGCCAACAGCTAAATATCGAAGTAAAAAGATGCATTTTTACCGGTAGTACAGCATTGCACTGCCATCATTGGCACAGATACCGTTTGTGAAGCGTTTGACAAATTGTACAACGGGCTCCAGATTGCACACGCAAACACTCCCGATAATAAAGTTACCGATTGTGTGCACTGCGAACTGCGTCAACCACAAAGTGCTTGTTGCATGTGAAACACAAACCTGTGGGCGCCATAATTTTCGGCCAACGCGGTTGTTTTTTTGCACGTTGAAAGTCTGATGAATCACTAAATACTTCGTTAGTCCTTCGCAATAGCTCTTGATACAGTTCCGAAAATCCGGATGGATCAACCTCTTCAGCACTTCTCAGACGATGTACAAGATGTGCAATTTTAGACGTGGATGGTTTCGTAACGGGGACTTTCAACGTCCGCAACGGCATGGACTCGGTGGGCGGGTTGAAATCCGCCAGCCAGCGGATGCAAATAGGTATTTGGCTTGTAATTGGATGCACATATCAGAAACAGTTTTCTTGTCGGGTAAGCGCGCTGCTTGTATCCCGTCTTTAAATGCACACACGGAAGCCGCATGGTTTCATAAAAAGGACAGGTACATGTTCCAAAGGAGCAATCACTGGTGAAGCGGTTTCCCTGGTGCGATATCTCAAAATATGGAAACGTCAGCAGTTTTTATTCACCTACCACTCCATCTCCAAAGTCCGAGTAAACTGCTTGTAACATGGGTTGTGCTAAATGGCGCATCACTAAGTTGCATGCGTAGGTAGTTAAGAGGCAAACTACGCGAAGAACGTACGCGCTGCATTCTAGTAGCTGAGGCCTGTCACAGAAAAATGTGGCATGTAATGATGCGTGAGCTTTCCGAAGCAGAAACGCGTAAACTATTCGCCGGCTGAATCCCATGTCGTCAGTTATTAAAGACTGGTTTAGTTTGAAGCTGCAAGCAACAAGGCCGCCATCAATACTTACGTCAAACAATTAGTACCATGAGTAACGTCTACACAAACGACATGCGAAACTCGGCGGAACAGTTATATTTGTTGATGCCGAGGGAAAATTACGTGTGGGCACAACCCTACCTCAGTAATAATTCGCGCATCTCCGTCTTCTTCCATAGACCTGATAACCTGATGCATTTTTACTGCAAGAAGTAAAAACTATCAAAATAAGCGTACACTCAACGCCAGGTCTCAATTTACGACAAGCATTGCGGGCATCATTGCTGGTAATATGCTTTCCGAATCGAACCTCGACGAACTGCTTGATGTCGCCTGTTGGGGTGTTGTAGCGGAAAAGGTCCACGGACTGAGTGAACTCATCGCCCGTCAGACGGCGATTGATGGAGTGTCGCTCAAAAAGGGCGATTAACTGGGTGCTTGTGAGACAGATCGAAGGTTGTGACTTTCAGCTTGCGTCCCGCTCTAATGAGGTTAATGCGAGCTTGGCAGTTAGTATCACGGGAGCTGAAAGATTTAGAATAATAGAAGCCAAATCCCACTAAACATGTCTCACTCCTGTACTTTTTGACTTCCGGCGTGCGAAGCGGACATCGAAAAAAGACCCTGTCGTACTTCACCCGCGACAGGTTACACTTTCTGCTGCTGTAGCATACGAAATTGACGTAATGAAGAGGCATAAAGTCTGAAAACAAACTACTAAACTCGTCAAAACTCAAAAGTAAGCCCAAGGAAGATTCTCCGGAAATCAGACTCTATGGCGTACGGATTCGAATATACTGTTCATACCGCGTATCTTGTTTCCGACAAACAATTGCAATTTCACTTTTGTACAGATTTAAATAAAACTGCAAAGGCAGAAAGATAGCCGGGAATAATGCCATAAAATAACCATAAACTATTTATTGCGCATTAAGTTTTGTGGGGTAACAGTGCGTATCTGGCTTCTGACACATTTAAACAAATGCAATATCACATGTGCACAGAATTGAATAAAACTGCAAAGTCAGAAATATAGCCAAGAATCATGCAATTACTGGACGCGTAACTATTTACTGCGCACTAGGTTTTGCGGGGTAACGGTGCTGCGCCTACGTCGTAGCCAGAGGGGCAGGCGGTTTGGTTTGTAGACGTATTACTGCACAGAAAAATAAAACTAAACATTGTATAACTAAACAGAAACAATGCAAGAAGAAACAAAGGCTTGTGACTGCAAAGCAGCCAGCTTGCATACTTGCACCAATATGACAACCCTTTTTACTAGGTGCGAAGTATGCGCGATAATGGAAATACTCAGTTAATGAAAATGATTGATGAATTAACAATAATGAACACGTTCATGTTATATTGGTTATAAAATAAATCATCATAACGTACGTAAAAGCCTATAATGCTTCTTCATTCCTTATTCGCACAACTTACCGCTGCGGTTTGCGAACACAAAAGCCGTGTTATCAATAAGGCGAAATAATCGACTCGCTCCTCTGTCAGTATGTAATCATAGGATCACAGGTTTGTAGAGAGTAGAATAAATCCTTTGTCTGCTTCATCGACTCCCGATCATTGTGTGGAGGCCACGATTCGGTGCTAAGCGGTAATCCACAAGGGACCGTAGCAGTTACAGTGCAAGTTCAAGTTCAAAGGGACTGGAACAGTAGGATACATCCCCGTGAATTTTCCTTCCGTTGCGCGTCGTCGATCCAGGGTAGTATTC